GTTCGACGGAAGACTCTGGAAACTGATTCGGATCCTGATCGTTTTATATTTTACAGATTACCATGCAAGGGAAAAGTCCAGAACAGCCCGATTCTACCGTAGAAATGTCCCAAAAGAGGCGATCGATTAGGAGGATATCCTTTGGCACAATTCGTCGCACACGGTGTTCTTGTGATTCACCTGTTTGTCACCAGCGACTCCCTCCGCCTCTCCGCTGACCACACCCCTTTCTGAGTTTCTCACCTGAGCTTTGAACGCAGCAGAGTCTCGGTGAGCTCAGCAAACACCGGGCTGTCAGATAGGACTGTCTCACTACAAACAAACAAACAAACAAACAAACACAATTAATAAAGAAATAAATCACAAAACAGAAATGTTTCTGTTTCCTTTACCTTAACCAAATTTCCAGTAAGAAAATAAGATGTTTTGAAACTGATTTACAAAAAAAAACAAAAAAAAACTTTATTATTCTGTAATTAGAAAGCAGTGTTAATAGTCAAACATCTATTAGGCTTTTCATTTATTTATTTATTTTTAAATTAGATTTCATATATCGAGCCGCCATTTTTAGATCCAACAAGAGATTTTTAGATAGCTAGCTTTTGGCTAACAATGCTCTCCTCTAAAAGTGACGTTTTTAGTTTAGTCAGCAGCTACTGAAACTAATTTTTATTCTTTGAACAGTTCTTACAGTTATTTAGTTAGCTTACTAGTTATTTATTTAGTTAGCTAGTTGTTTAGTTACCTAGTAGCCAACTAACTAGATATTTAGTTAGCTAACTTGTTATGTACTTAGTTCGTTGGTCGGTTGGCTAGCTAACTAGTTAGGTGGTTAGTTAGTTATTTAATTAGTCAGTTACTAGTTAGCCAGCTAATTAGTTAGTTAGTTGGTTGGCAAGTAAATTCGTTGACTAACTAAATAGTTTGTCAGCTAACTATGTAGCTAGTTAGCCGATTGGTTAATTAGGTATCCAACTACTTAATTAGTGAGCTGACTAAAAGTTGAGTTAAGTAACTGGCTAACTAGATAGTCAGTTACTTAGTTAGTTAGTTTAGTTAGTTAGTTGAAATGGATGGAATAAATCTCACATATCCAGTGTTCAGTGTGATCTTTATCAGTTAGTTATATATAGACAGAGTTGGATAGTCACTAGTTACATTCCCTCATTTACATTTACTTAAATACTTAAAAAAATACCTTGTACTTCTTACAATTTTACTTGAGTAAAAATATGGTGAAGTATCACTACTCTTACTTGAGTAAAATTTCTCACTACTCCATCTATTGAGTAGCTTCACTTAATGAAATCAAAATAAACGATATGTACCATTGAGAGACAAACTTTTTGTTTTGTTTTTTTACTCAAGGCTTGTTAAAATCCTATTTTCCATCAGCTCAGTCTGCCTTATCATTTGGAGGTTGAGGTCAAATGCAAAAAACAGTGTAATGTAATTTAACTTAATCCTACATAATTTAACTCTTGTTTTTTTTAGTTTTATAACTCAAAAAATTATTTTAAATAGCATTAATTCTACCTAAATTACTCACCCTGTACTTACTGTATATTATAGTTTTATTTATCTTATTCTTTGAAACACCACAACTTCCATATACCTTAATACTTTTTTTATTTACCTCATTTTGTAAAATATTAAACCAGTTGTTTTGATCATTGGTAGAACATCAGTTATTCAGTATTGAGTGGCCTTCTTACAAAATACTTTTTTACCTGTGTAATTTCTTTAAAGGCTCATTTTAACTTGAGTAAAATTATGATGAAGTAGTGCTACTCTTACTTATGTACAATCTTTGGATACTGTACCCACCTCTGGGTATATAAGGAAATATTTACCTCCCCCACCACCCACAAAACAAAGTATTATCAAAACCTTTTTAAATCTTGGGCACAACAATCCTTGTTTTTCTTGCTTGTATCCTGCCTACCGCCTGTTTCTTCTGTTGTTTGTTTAGACACATCTGAAGACTTGTTTTCTCTGCCGCATGACTTCAATTATTTGCATTTAAAACATAATGATTTTAAAGTTTATTATTATAAAAGTTACTTTATTCTTTGTGTTTAATCACATCAAGACAAAGAGTAAAACTTGTCAGCAGCAATGAGTCAACAGTTGAATGCTTAAATACTTTCCTGTCTATCTCTCTTTCTGCCATACCTACCGTTGCCCAACCAGTTTAACCAGATTCTTTTTTTTTCTTTGTCGTCAGGCAGCAATGCAAACCTGGCAGCACACTGGATGACTTGTCTTAATTTTGCACTTCCTGGTACAGTATCTTTCCAACAGTACTCCCTGCTCTTTGCCTAAATTACCTAACACACAAAAACACACCCATGCACACTTACACAAAAGACTTAAGTGAAGTTGCATTTCAAATAGGAGTGGTCTCAAGGGTTTATTTTCACGTCTTTCATCCATCTTACAACTTAAACCACTAAACAAGCAAAAGAGACATTATGACAGATTAACATGACAAGAATTTACAAATCTGGTATTTCAAATTAATTATTATAATGAAATACAATTAAATATAATTCTAAAATCATCTATTTCTTTAAATATCTCTCTAAATATATATATTAGATATATTTTTACTATCACATTAATACCTGTATTTGAATAAATAGCAGTTATTGTTGCTTTTGGGGTTCAAAAAAGTAGAGGATGTCATTGTGTTTCTCTCTCAGTGTCAGCTTACAGTGAATGAAACTTAGAGTTTCATGTGGGACACATGTGATGAAAGAAGCTTTCACAGGAGACATTTTAGAGTGAATATACTACCTGCACCGAGGAAAGAAACACGAAACCTAAAGTGACTGAAAGTACACAGAAAACAAAAAGAGAACTAAATCTGCCTCCAGTATGGGCCGTGGTCCCACTCTAAATATACACGGCATGGTCATGATCTTTAATTGAAATGTAACAATAATGAAACTGTAATAAAAACCCCAAATATATAGAAAATGTATTAAGTTTCCCTATAGAAATAGTTAACGTTTTAAGATAATCCCAATGGATCTTAAAAGGTCAAAGATGTGCGTAATAGTCAAATATTTTAACAGGTTGTTTTGTACTCAGCATCCATCACTTTAAATCACAGTTTACTTTGCTTACAGGAAAATAAAGTTACAATCAAAACATAATTACCGTTGTAAAATATGCAACATAATATTCCAAATAGAAGAAATAAAAAAAAAAGATTGAATAAAAAAATAAAACCAATTTTATGTTCTCGATGCCTAAAATTAACATCATTTTTATACCTTACATTATAAAAACATTACATTGCTAAAAATAATTGCATCACTTTTTGAATGATAAATATCAGTGTTTAATAAGCTGGTTTTGGTGCATTTTTTCCCTAGCTACACTCCAACCTCACTACTCAGACCTCAATAAAACACCATCATCTCTGATGTTGCTGCTATTTTTAAATAGCCATTACTGTAAAGATGTCCATAGCTGTATATTGGTTATTTATTTTCCAGATGCACCGTATTTATGTTGTAAATACACTGTACAGTACAGTATGTATTTTATTATTTTTAACTCTTCAATTTGTGATTTTATATACTTTTCTAAGCTCCACATTTGTGTGACCACTTTTGCTATAATCTTTTTGCTGCTTTAATCACCGGAATTTCCCCATTATGGGACAACAAAGGGATTTTCTATTCTATTCTGTTTTGTTCTATTCTATTCTCTACAGCTAAAAATAATTGCATCAGTTTTTGAATGATGAAATGACTGCTTTTAATCATCTGGTTTTAGTGGATTTTCCCCACTCAAACCTCATTACTCAGACCTCAATGAAACTCATACATAGAACCTTACTGCCACACGAAGAAGGTTAAAAGATCTGAGTAAAAATTCTGGCTCCAGTCTAAAGTAATTAAGAACCAATGAGAACTACACTCGTTGACACTTTTAAGACTTTGTAACTCCTGTGAACCCTAGTAAGAGCCATCGTCCACAAGTGAGGGAAACAGGAAGCAGTGATAACCCTTCCCAAGACAAAATTTCACCAAGAGCTCAAAGGGGACACATACAGGTCACAAAAAGAAATTGGAACAGCATAGACTTAGACAGATTTATTTGTCGTTTTGTTTACATAAGTGTAAAACAAAAAGAAATTTCTTTTAGAACCGCTCTCTAGACAATTTCATTTTTTTTAAGTGCAGCCTTGAAAAATAGTAAAAAAAAAATATAAAAACAGTAATATAAAAATATGACTGTAAATTTACAGTTCTAGCATTTCAGTTATTTTTATATATAATGATAAAATATAATAAATATAATAAAGTACGATAAAATAACCCATTTTACAAAACATTCAGCAATCTGATGGCATTGGGGAAAATGCTGTTACAGATGCAGAGGGGTGTATGGAATCCCAGCTGTTCCAGTTTGCCCATCAGATGCTGTGGGATGATGGTGTTGAAAGCTGAACTGAAGTCCAGGAACAGCATCTGCATGTGGGTGTTCTTCTCCTCAAGGTGTGCCAGGCTCAGGTGGAGAGCAGAGGAGATGGCGTCCTCAGTGGAGCGGTTCCGTTGGTAGAACTGGAATGGGTCGAATGTTGGGGAGAAGACTGGAGACAGTGTTCTTTAACCAGCCTTTTTTAAGCACTTCATCATGATTGGAGTCAATACAACAGGCCGGTTATCATTCAATGAGGTGACCTGAGGCTTCTTTGGGACTGGAATAATGCTGGCAGCATGCTGGCACTATGGATCGGTCCAGAGAGGTGTTAAAAATATGTTCAGGATTGGTCAAAAGGCAACCATTTCAGTGTTTATAGGTTAAAATACGAATTTAATAGAAAAATAAACTATTAAAATAATTATGATGTATCTATGCATCCATCCATCCATCCTTGTAGGAAAAGGGGTTCAAAGCGCCACACCAAACAGAGAGAAATGGCGCCCTCTGGTGCATACATTAGATATTGCCTTTAGTCGCAACAACCGCGTCATCATAAAGCGACAACACACTAAAAAATGCGTAGCTAACGACAAAACGTTGCCTTTTAACGATCAGTAGAAAGCAAGTGATGAATAAAAGTATATCAGAGCTTCTTACGAAGGTACATGGTAGAAATAATCCAGTATCGTAATTTTAGATAAATGATTCCCTAAAAGACATAACCTCGATTACTTTATTGCGTTACTGCGGAGGTATGATTCGCATTAAACTGTAGCAGAAAATGCCCAAAGTCTCGGATTCAACGTTTCCTCCGGGATGTAAAGGTCTTCCTGAGGGCTTCTGGTCAGCGGTGGAGGTGTGGCTGAAAAAGCCTCATGTTGTCAACAAGCGTCTTTGCGGAGCCACCGTGACTGAGAGCAGAGACGTGGACATAGAAGACCTGAGGACCCTGCTGGGGACTGATGATGGAGAACTGCACCAGGATGTATCTGCGTTCCTCTGCAGCGGAGCCTCACCTGCACACACACACCAGGGGGACAAACCCTGGTGCTCCACTGTCAGGACATTTATCCCTAAAGTCAGCTGCTATGGTGCAAAGAGGCAGAAGGAAATCGTACTGAAAGGTAAGAGCCTGGGTTTACTTTGTCGTTTTCTTTACGTCTGTGGTGTTCTGATCTGCTTGATCTTCTGCAGACTCTGACAGACAACACGTGACCTTTCTGCCTTTTGAGGAGGACCCAGCTGCAGGGAAGACATCCTTAAAGAAGAGCAACATTTATCAGATCAGGCTCTGCAGTGTGGGATTTGACCAATGGTGAGTCCACATCTCTGAGTATAACCTCCAAAAGATTGGACTACATGCTTTAAGAAAACATCAGAGCAGTTACCAACCTAGACTCTTACATAAATGAAAGTTTCTCTGATGTTTTGCAGAAGCTCAATATAAACACATTTTTCTTCAGGACCACTTTCTTTTAAGTTGACTTTTTGATTTTTTTAATGGAAAGAGCAGAATGCAAGATCTCATCTATTAATAATGATAATGATTGAACATTATTGATCTCTTAATGGAGAAATTTACTTCTGCATCTCAGTCCATCCCCTTGGGGAGCAGTGGGCTGCCACTGTGCGGCGCCTGGGGAGCAATCGGGGGTTAAGGGTCTTGCTTAGTCACTCAGAGTTCAGGCTGTTCAATCCATTACCAAAAGTCACCCAGATTTCAAAGCAGCCTCAGACCTTCATACCACCACTACCGTGCATCACTGAGTCTAAGATGTGTAGCTGAATGCTGTATTTCAGCTCTGGCCTGTTGTGATTTTATGTTCTATTCTATTCCCAGCCAGCTGGGAATTTATGTTTCTGATACTTTAAGATGTCTATTGCCTCCCCGGTAGGGGTGGGAAATATCTTATTTAATCAGATATTATTTTGGCTGTTATATATTGTTTATGAACACACACCCTACTAAAAATGAAAGAGTGATTTGAGCTCTGATCATGGTCAAACAGTTAATTCTGCACGTGTATGGAATAAATTCACCACAACTTCTGTTCAAAATATTAAGAGTTTATTAAGAAAAATGTTCTCTCCCTAATCATGCCAGACCTGCAAACCTTTTGGTCCATGTCCATTGGAAGGCTCTCTCTGTCTCAGTGGCTCACATCAGGGGTCCTCTTTGTCCCCGTGGCTCATCTAGGCAGGCTTTCTCATCCAGTCTGGCTTTATAAGTTCTGAAACTCAAGAGAAATGTGTCGCAAAATGTCTGTTTTGCAGCAGTTTGGTTCTAAAGGGTCCATGATGACTTATCTTTGATGATTCTGGAGATCTGAGTCTTTTTGGGCCCAGATCTCCATTCTTGCCGGAGATCCTGCCGAAGTGGACTCCACTTTTATGGGCAAGGGAGAGTAGACAAAGAGGAGGAATCTGGTTTTAGCTGTGGTTTTCCTGTGTCCTCATAGAGAGGGGGGTGGTTGGTCACACTTCTGTGACTTTCCATGTGACTGAAAAAGGCAGAGTTGAAGAGATCTTAGAGCTGCTTGTGAGCCAAACTTTATCCTCTTCTCTGGTCATCATGTCAAGATGAAATATTGACGCTGGTTCAATGTGCAAGAACCATGATCATGGCATATGGCAGAACAGATCTTTAGAGTCCAAAGATTTTTTTCCCCTGTAGGACACATTAAAATACAGATGCTATTTATGTAATTAGAAAATGTATTCTTAATCATTAATATTCCAGTTTGTAAACAGATCAATATCCATCTTCTCGTTTATCTTTATTCCTTTAATTTAAAAAGAAACAAAACAAATTGGACCTGACAAATACAAAGCTACTAAAAACAGTAAAATTATATAAATGCTGTTCGCCTCTTTCTCCTCAGGGCTTTGGAGCTTCACGTGTTGACGTCAGATGGGTGGTTCTCCGATGGCGTTGCCTATCCCAGGCTGCCCTGGCTGTCCTCCGATCTGCTGCCTAAACTGGTGCGCTGGGCCGCCGAGTCCAAGAGCAGCGAGTTCAAGAGCACCCTGTCTCTGCTGCCAGTGGAGAAGTACAGCCTCATGTACCAGCAGCTGAAGGAGAAGTACAAGAGCATGGTCCAGGTAGAGAGACGCCAAGGTTCTGACTCTGTCTGCGCTTTCTATGTCCTACAGTGTTCTCATGTTGTTTCTCCTGTTTTTTTTTTATTTTTATTTTGTTATTTCCAGGTTTGGCCAGAGGTTACCGATCCTGAGAAGTTTGTGTTTGAGGATGTTGCTATAGCTACTTATCTCCTGGTGGGTTTGGAGCTGCTCTTAATGCTCTTTTAAAACCAAAACAATCAGTGATGTATGTTTAGTCAGGATCTTTGATTCTTTGACGCAGAGCTATGCTCTTGTTATCCAAGACTGGGCCAATCAGTGCATGAGTGGACCCAGGGAATCGGTTCATACGTCATGCTAGATGATATCAGACGTTACCCTGCAGCTGCAGAGTGCGTTTAATTAATGATTAACTCTTGATACTGAACCAGGCTAACTGTGGCTGCAGGTTCTGTGGTCTGAGGAAAGAGCAGCGAAAAGTCAGACTGATCCGCAGTCCTTTGTGGACCTCGGCTGTGGAAACGGCCTCCTGGTTCACATACTGACCAATGAAGGGGTAAGTTAGAAGATTTTTTTACTTTCATTTATCCCAGAGTCCTGTCAGACTACTGGGACTTTTTTGACCCCTGTATCAGGGTGACTTTGAATATTACAACTTTCTCCCTTTCTTGAAGCTAGAAACAGCGACTGCTTCTGTTTATATGCTGACCATTCTGATTTATGTTGCAGCACCCAGGGAAGGGCTTGGACGTCCGTAGGAGGAAGATCTGGGACATGTACGGCTCTCAGACGCTGCTGGAGGTGAGGAGGAAAGTTAATGTATTTCTTTTTTTTTTTTTTTTTACTCATGTTAGAAATACCCCCTTCCCTCAAAAAAAAAATTCAGTCCTTTGTCTTAATCCAGACTTTTCTTCCTAAATGCTTCAATATGTTTGGTTTCCCTATATACAAAAGTT